ATCAAATTATCGCAGTCAAAGATAAGTTCAATTTTTGCAACGAAATAATCTATTATATTATAAATTTCTATTCCCTATACTTTAGATTTATGTGTTAATAAAATCACTCCATCACTCGATTAAAATCGCGAGGCATGAAGCAAAACTAACGTTTCGTAAATAGGAGAAGGGAGATTTTCGACACGAGAGTCCGGCCCACGACGAAAGTTGTTTGATCAGCGTAGCGAGAGTCGATTTCAGGAGAGATTCGATCGCGTAGGATTCAGAGACGTCCATTCGATTCGTCTAATCGGTTGTCCGAAATAAGAGAGAGGTCGATTAAACGGAGACGCATTAGATTTGTCACGATTGGTCTCGTTTCTTTTGATTCTTGAAGCTTGAGCAACGTCGTTGACTCATGTCATTAGCGAGTGGGTTTAAAAAGTCAATTTTATCTTATAGATTTGTTTGTATTGAATTCTCACTGTCTCCTTTAAAATTTTAAATTACGAAGAAATTACGGTGCGAAAGTCTTTCGCGAAAGTGAACATCCTTCAATTTTTATCGTATGTATCGAAAAATGCAAAATTCTGACTCGTCAATCGTTCCTCTGATCAGAATAGAATAATTCAAGTGAAATCGTTACATGTATTTTAATAATTTAATAGACTAATTCCTCGGCGCATATTTTCATAGAGAACGTCGAACTATGTCGATCAATATATTAAAAAAATACATAGTGAACGTGTCAACAACATCAAACTTCATTAATTAACAAACACACTGCGTGAAACTTATAAAATATCTAAAATACCGCACATGTTGCAAATCACTACCTGAAAGTTCTATTCTAATTATCATTTTCACAAAACTAATGAATTCGCATCAAGCTTCCTCAAGTTCAATCTTTATCTAAAATATATAATTTTCCCTGGAATACACAAGATCTTGCGTTCTCGATTACATTACAAACTTTCCTCTATTTCTTGCACTTTCGTTTCTGTAGTACGACACGTTCTCTTTAGTATGATAAATACTAAAGTTATGACTGGTAATTCCAATGTTAACAAGTAAATTGCGCATCTAGCGGGCCGGAGAATTATTTTTACATCTTTTGTCATTATTTATTAGCCGCGTGCCCGGACTATCGAGGAGACGCATACTTTGAATATTCAGATTCGCCCACGCAGTCACATCTTCCAAGGACCTGGGACGTTAATGCCAGGAAGATTCTACGAGGGGAATAAAACGGTTGTTACCTCGCGAGAGAGGATCGGTTACGTAATCGCGTGTATTTTCATAGATCGGCGATCGTTAAGCGGCGATTCGAGAGCACGGCGGATCTCCGTGCCAGAGTTGGGCAAAATCGATCGGTGATCGAAGATTATGATTTTTAACGGAATACGTAATTTTATTAGACAGCCAATCTATATATAGGTATTATGATAATTTGTACCTCGAGTACTTCAATTTCCTTAGATTGTAAAATCTAAGTGGAAGGCACAATAATGAAAAAATATCAAATGAATTCTCTCATAATGGCAATGTTAGAAAATAGAACTTGGTAATAGAAACTAATTAAAACGAATTGCAAGTTAAATGTTTCCTTGGACGTACACGTGAAATATATTAAATATTATTCGTAATTACCGATTTATTCGATAACGATTTTTAATTGATTGAGAATTATTCAATTGACATTCTCCGTGATTATTAAATTAGGATCACCTGTAATTTCCAACGTTCTCATACTTTTATTAATTTCTTCTATTTTATTTAAAAAAATCTACTTTAAAGAAATCTACTTTAACCTCTCTCGTTTTCTGTAAACTTTTGTAATAGTCAAACAATCAGCAATCTTTCTTATTTTCTCATTTAATAAAACTTTTATATAAAAATTGATATGAAATATTTATATAAAATTTATATAAAAACATTTAGTGTTGTTTAATTTAAAATTTAATAAAACTAAGAGAGAACACGCTAACAGTGGATGTTCCAGAATATACTTGATCGTTAACAAAACTTATATTAACTTTGTTAAACTTCAATCTTACCAGAAACATAGGGAACGTAGAAAATTGTAGACAATCTCAATTCAATATCCACGGCTTGTAATTACAATTATGTTCAATGATCAGTCATAGAAACGATGACAAAAGAAACCGAACTCTGGATCACGCGAAAAGGCGTGGGTCTGGCTAGCAACGATCGCGATCTGAACGTGTGTACTTGTTAGGCTGGGAAATCGCAACGGCTTGGTGACGTGTATAAGGAAACGCGAAGAACCGGCCATTCCGTTGGGAAATCTAGGCTTCGCGAGACGACGCTCGCCATCGAATATAGGTTGCATTCTTATGCGACTCTCGTCGTGCAAATAAAGCACGCGCAAGCGTAACCCTCTCGTTTGAAAGAAGAAGAAGAAAAAAAAAAAAGAAAAAAGAGAGAAGAAAAAAAGAAAAAAAAAATCGCGTCACACCAAGCATCAGTTACGCAGCAAAAGAGATCGCAGCCGCGATCGGAGCCTGGAGGCTCGTTGTTCAACGAGAAACTTAATATTCCATTCTATTGCCAGTGCGCGCTCGAATTTATCGTAACAGCATCTACCGTGTTTATGTAAATGATCGCGATGTACTTCACGACGAATCGCGAATCGCGAACCACTGCTGTTTTCCACTAGCTCTTTCGCCCCTACTCTCTCGGCTTCCAACGTGTTTTTCATATGCGACGTCCCTTCATTCTCGTAATTTTACTTTAGCTCGAATTAGACGTTTCGTACGGTGAAAAGAAGCAATTGATGTGCCATACATTTTGCACGTTTCGTAGAATTCTGCGTTTTTGTATCACTAAATGTTTCATGAAAGCAAACTGGTAGTATCGGTAGTTGAGTAAGTTTTGATATTTGTAATATTCAAGCCCTAATTGGTATCACTGGAAATTGAAAATTCCTGGAAATTGGAAGGCTTTACACTATTTAATTTTGGAATTTTTTGATTGACATTGCTAATCTCTATCAGAGGGTGTAATACGAAATAAACTTAACACATTAAGCTGTACAAATTAAATTTGTAAATTACTGTAGCCATTTATGGCTTCACGATACTATTTCAAACGTGCATTAAAAAATAAATTACTAGACTTTTGTGCATTTATAGGGATACCTTAAAGCAAAACGCGCGTCACATGAAAAAAAGAAATATTTCTATGAACAAAAAATATTTCTTTCTGCCGAGGTCCTATCTTTTAGTTACATTTTAGTAAAGTACGAGCTTATATGAAAGTCCATACCAACATGGATCGATAGCGTGCTGTGACTGATGCGAAGAAAATCACATAAAACACTTTTGACACGGTGGCAACGCTGAAAATGCCGTTTAACGATAGTTTGGACATTGTAACGATACAGAAATACAAGATATCCCGCTGAGCAAAACGACGCGACGCGACGCGTGAAAGGAACAACGACATCCGACGCGAAGATTAACTCGCGCCGTTAGTTGCTAACAATGTTTAAGATAACCTTGTTCTCACGAACCGAAGTTTCTTGAGATCGTTTATCGAACGCATGGATCATCGTGGATTCGCGAAACGCACGACAATGAGAAACGTGAACAAGCATAGCTGATTTTTTTCTCTCTGTCGTTCGGAATACAAAATTTATCGAGTAAGATAATTGGTCGTGAGTCACTATCAATTGGAGCCGATTTGTTTACAGAAAATTGAAATTACAAATGTAGTATATGACGTTCAGTTTTAGTTTGTGGGGTCTTATTTAAAATAATTTATTTATCAATTAATTGATCCTACAGTCTAGTCTAGATTCAGTTTAGTATAACAATATATGGCAATTGAACTCGTATTCAAATAATCATGATCAAGTACTAACCCAACACCAAGAAAGCATGCAACTTACCGATCGTTGAAGTCAGAATTGTAGATTAAGGTTTGGCTGCGTTGGACTTGACTATGTTCCATACCTATGAACTTCTTGAACATCTGTTGATGCTTCTGCTTCTCAAACACTTTTCAGCAATAAACGTTTGAACCCAGTCTACAATGTCACTTTTAACTCACTTCTAACACTTTTTAAATATTAGATAATGTTTAAACAATTAGAATGTTCAGAAATATTAGTCAAAATTTCAGTTCTAAAATTTGGTCGATGCTTACGGGACGAAAGTTTAATTGATAATGAGCTCTTGTCTCGATGCCGGTGAAGGTTAATCTAATTTTATGATGACTGTAACAGGTCAATCTTTATTAATACTTCGAAATACGGTTTTCCTATTACAATAATGAGCAATTTAATAATGTTTACACTTTACAAATTCCTTACATTTCCTTTTAAAAAACATATCTACTAATAAAGAAAATTTTCTCATGTTTTCAGGAACGTTTGAATTTTTACAATCTTCAAATCAAAAGTATCTCCACTTTCTCACCCGCTGTGTACAAACATCTTTGAAAAAAACGAACTTATCTTACATTTCTGAAATTGAAAAAAGACCAAGTGAATTATTATGCGAGTTTTTTTTTACAAAGTTACAAACAGTTTAGAGTATCGACTATTTTTTATCATTATTGTACACTTCACTGTATATATTTATTACTCAAAAAAAAAAAAAAAAAAGATCTGAAACATATCAATGCCCTCCATGAACGAATATCAATTTATATGAAAATTTTTCGATCTAAATAATTGACGAAAGACGTCTCAATTTCCCTCGAACAATGCACGAACCCGTTTATAATGGGATTCCATCGCGCGATAATCGACGAGGAATATAAAAAAAATATATAACGAGCTCTTTTTTCGTTCGTTGCCAGACTTGAAAGCACGCCGCCCGATCGCATATACATCGTTTGCGCATTATTTGCAATGAAAATTCAGTTAAACCGCCAAGAAAAAAACTCGTTTTTCAAACTGAATTAACTTACGACTTAATTAACCACGTTTAATTGATATCGAGAAGACAAACGAGCCAATAAGAAACTACTCATCCGATCGATTGAAATTTCAGCCACAAAATTTGGTAATGATGGGCAGTTTCCCGGAATGCGAGGTGAAGCTCTGCGACTTCGAGATCTCGAGAGTGATACTAGAAGGGACGGAGGTTCGTGAAATCCTTGGGACACCGGATTACGTAGGTAAGCATCTGTTTCTTTGCCGAAGAACTTCATTTTGTACCTTTATCGCACGCAATCATGCAGTATGTTAAATAAAGAACGATCAAAACGACAAAACGAGGTGACATTTATCTTAAGGAAATCTGTTTCGTCAATTCGCTCGAGTTTTCGTTCATTTCTCAAAATGTCAAAAAGTTCAAGAACTTAAGTGATGAAATCTGAGACACTTGGAACTTTTATTGTACACTTGATGAAAAATTTGAATCACACGATTCGAATCTAGGTCTTCAGTCTTGAAGGTCTTGATTATCTTGGAAATCTCGAAAGTCAATGTGCCTCATATTTTCATTATAGTATATACAAGTTCAAAATGATTTCAAGTGCTTCACATTCCATTACTGAAAATGTATAAAACTGATCACGCACAGACCGCGGCCGAAAGTTCGAGTATTTCCTAAGTTTGCGTTAATTGTGACAAAGAATGAATGATCAACAAATCTGCTTATTCTGTCCATGAAAATAAATCGGAAGCGTAGAATCAAATTTTCGTAACATTGCGTATCTACTGCAGATAAGATTGTAAGAAAAAATCGATCGTTTTAACATCGACGGCTTGGAAAATGCGATCGCACGCCGGGAAACTAACGTGTCAATTAATACGCGATTATGTTTGCGATCTTGCAGATCGGCCAGACATCGCCGATTAATGAGGCACGATATTGATTGGTAGCAATTAACTGGCAACTCGGAGCAAAGTGCCGATACACCTGTTTACCTGTTTGATCGCAGTAAACTCGCATCGTAAAGTAATGCGCGCGATACATCATTCGGCGACCGATAATACGGTTATTTACAGGATGTTTCGTTAAAGCGACTAAAAGAGTATTATTCTTTAATATATTGTTGTAATAAATTAAATAAGTATGTATATACGATTTAAATAACTGAGAACAATTTATAGTACACGTATACAGAATGTGAAGTTAAATTTGAAAATTTCTTGTATGTACAGGAATAAAAAAATGAATGAGAAGTCGAGAATATATTTCTATTTGAATACTCGTTTTCAAGAAAATAGAGCATATGTTTTATTGAAAGCTATCCCGATAAATTTGAACTCGGATGTGCGGAATACCTTTTCTTTTTCGAATGAAGCAAATATTTTACGAGTTAAATATTTTCAAAGAAATAAGAATAATTATAACTATAATGGGAATATCACGAATAATATATTTATAGGAAAGTATTATTTCTCTTAAAACTCTAACGTGCTTTTGCATGAATTTCCTGTTGCAGACATCACAGTAAATTACACCTCGCGCTAATTTAAATATGCAAGACGACAATAAACAAATATGAAGCGCATCTTTTAAATTTTCTTCACACTTCTAACATTAAAATTTCAAATTAATGCAAATAAAATGTTGCGTTAACGCGTAACGCAGACACTTGTAGGGTTATAACGAGCACGCGCATTTTTCATTCTGTCACTAATTTCGAGCGAACGATGACTCGTTCTCATTGTTCGCGACATCATCACGTTGCGTTTCGCTCGAGTAGAATGATATGCCGCGTAACAGCAGAACAGGCGTATAAAGCATATTAAATGAAAGAGCGTCGGTCGTAGGCCGCATAGTTAACGATATAATTGACGCACGCTATTATCCCCGTTGATCGTATCGATTCGTCGAATAACAGAGCTGCTCGTGTATCGTTGAATATCTTAATCGCGTTTAGCGTTTCTCGAAATGAACGAGGACAGCCATCGCGATCGTGTCTCGATCATTTTATTCAGTATATCCACAAGGAAACCCGTCGCGCTTTAATCTCTACGCGAATTTTATTAACTTCATAATGCCTTGGAAACTTACCGTAACAATTAGAGTGCCGGATGTTTGCGCGTATTAAATATGTAAACGAGCATATGACATTTATGCGTACAAAGTATCACACGTGCGTCCAACTACGCATGACGGAGATATCTCGTTTCTATCTTCGTCTATTTTATGATGATTTAAAAATAAAAATAAAATTTTTCATCGCGATTAACGAGTAGTTTGAAGTAGAAATATTGATTAATATTTTCGTTACCATGGACCAGATATTTCACTTCTACGATTCTATTGACGAGTTACCTCGCTTCACAATTTCGCTCGAAGATTACGTTTATTATTATAATTCAAAAATGGAACTTATTTAGGAATTACTTCTGAAAAAAAATTTATAAAGCTTCGCGGTTTTCGAACAACTCGGATTCCCTTGAGGACGAAAGAAAAATATGCAAATATACATACTATCTTAATTCGGGGCACAAATATTTAACCAACGAGGCGAAATTATAACTAATTTCTATAAAAATATAAATTTGCGTAAACATTCATAGTTAATTTGATATTTTTTTAACAACAATATGCGACAGAATCTGTATCCTACGTCACTATTCTTTAAAGCGTAAATTAGGATTAAATTATTCTTTCGACCATCGACGCCTACGAAGCTCGATCGATTTTCGTTTACAAACGAAAAATATGACGCTACGTCGCTAGATGACATCACGAATTCGAATGTGGCCATTCGACTAAATAACATCCTACATTTCTCTTAATTTTAGCTCCTGAAATTCTTCACTACGAACCGATCACGTTGGCCGCTGATATGTGGTACGTAAAAGAATATAACTGATATTAAACATAATAAAATAAAATATATATAATGAAAGACGTAGATGAATAAAAAATAATAATAAATATAGACAAATATAAATGTATGACAAATAGTTTTGTAAATACAAAAAGAACAAAGCTCCTTGTATTGTCTATTGTAATCGAACATCACAAGGAGAAAATATAAATAATCACAATTTTATAGACGACTGATTTTTAAGTTCACTGCGCTGTAAAGTAACTATCTTTATATTTGGTTTTAGAGTTAAATATATATCGAATATTTAGAAATAAATCGATTTCAATTGCTTTCTTATAAAACATCTTGGACTTATCACTAGATTACGGATTTTTATGTAATTTTAAGATTAAAATCTTCAACGCAATTTTGTCTTATAATCCCTTCAGAAAGTTCACCTCAATTATTAAATTCTATGAGTTATTGACCGAATCGTTCAAATAATATTACCATTATTCAAGGTCCGTGGGTGTAACGACTTATGTTCTGTTAACGGGATTTTCCCCTTTTGGCGGTGAAACCGATCAAGAAACATTTCAAAACATCTCCATTGGCGAAGTAGATTTTCCCGAAGAATTGTTTGGCGATATCTCGGCGCAGGCGAAAGATTTCGTAGCAAAGCTTTTGGTGCTGGACCCGAGGTGAGTTATAAAAATATTATGCATAACTGGGAAATAACTAATACGGAGTATTATATTTCTTTCTTTTTATATATATGCAGATTGTAGCCAGTGTATCAACTAAAAAACACTAACTAATAAGTATTTCAGTATCAACAGAAATAAAACCGTTTCAATAAAAAATTGTGTAGCAAAATTTTCGGAAAATTTGTCGAATAAAAAAAGTTTTAAAAAATTTCTCATAAAATTAATATCAAGTAAGCGAAAGAAAATATATAGTGTATAATAAATTTCCCTTTTAGTCGCCTCTTACGACACGCAGGGATTACGTTGGGCCTATTCTACCCCCAAGCCCACAGGGGGAGATAAAAAACTGCGAATAATAGTACTTGATGCTGAAAATATATTATTAACATATTAGTTAAAGAATTAGATAAAGTCTCTTTATCACAAAACTTTTATTCTAGATCCATGAACTGAAACAAATGATGTAGTTACTTTACAATTAATTGACGACTATTAAATTATTAGCAGATTAATTCTATTTTCCAAAGCCACTATTCTAATTTTTAAATTTCTCTTTCGAAAAATAGTTGAAACTTCAACTCGAAATGCGCGAGAATTATAATCTCTCGTATCAATTCTATATTAAATATTCCTTTGAAACATTAAAAATCTTATTGTCTTTCGAAATTGAAATACGAATGATCGTAACAAGGTTGAGATTGTGTCACCAGGAAAGTTATCCCACTACATTGTAACTCGCTTCTGCTAGCCAACCTACAAGCATTTATCTCTGCTCGAGATAAAGACATTGAAACGGCATGAAACCTCATATGTTTCAGCGCACGAATGACCGCGAAACAATGCCTGCGTCACGATTGGTTACGCGGCGCGCCCACGCAAGCTTCGCCTCATCTCCGGAGATACCTGTCGAAGTCGCGAGAGGTTCTTCTAGAACGCGTTGTCAGCCGGGAGAACCTACGAAGGGCAGCGCTTTTGAGCCAGGCGAGCAGCCAAGCGAATCTGTCGAGCGACGCTCAAGACACGAGCCACTCCGACCAGAGCTTGCAAGACTGTCTGCTGAGTCAAAGCGAGATGTGCCTGAGCCACCGTCTGACCGGAAGCCGATCTAGTCTCGAGGGTAGCGAGGATTTCCTAAGTCCCGCCGACTCTCGAACGAGTCTCAACTCTTCCAGAACGAATCTCAGCTGCGCCAGCCAAAGCTGTCTGCTCAACAAAGAACAAACCCAAGGTTTGCTCAGTCGAGCGCAAAGTCGTTCGCAGGCGAACTTGAATCACGGCCCCAGTCGGGGGCTTCTGTCTCGAATACGAAGCCTGAATCGAATCCAGTCTCAGGCGTGTTTGCTCAATGAAAACTCTCCGATAGCCTCGGCTTTGCAGCCGCGGATGACGATCAACCCTGTGATCAGCAAGTCGCGCGAGAAGTTGTACGGCCTGAGATCGTTGTCCAAGTCTCAAGGAGTTTTGGATATATACAGGAGCCTCGAGTGCCTCAGACGGAGAAGGAAGAGCTACCAGCGAGCCAAAACGGAGGATATGGTGCCTATTTTTAAACGGTTGGGCGCCGAAATAGATACATCTAACGTGTCGGACTCGTCGATAGAAACTACGTGCAACATTGGCGACCATAGGTCCTACGACGATGTATCGAGCTTGATAGAAACGAAGAAGTATTTGAACGACAAATCGAACGAAAAATCGATAGAAAAGACAGAGTCGGAAATTGCGGATGAAGATGGCGATCGATCGACGAAGACCGAGAAACAGGGAGAGACGAAAGATTTAGAAGCGTCGAGGGTACAGGCTTTGGAGTCCGAGGAGAATTTCGATTCGTTGAAATCGATCGAATCGGACACGCTGACCGAGGATTCAGACGAGACACCTGTGAATCGTGAGAACGAATCGAATCTAGTAGCTGGGAAACGACTCTGTCAGCGACAACATTCTGACGTTTCGAGTCACTCAAACAATTCTGGTACGTCGGATGACAAAGAGGACCGATCGACCGAGTCTGAGACCGAGGAGCCGAAATACACGGTGGCTCAGCTTGTGTCCGCGTTCAACAAGCACCAGGAAGTCGCCTCGAGGACGAGTTTGGAAGCGATAATGAGCGAGAAACAAGTGAACGAGGTGACTTTTCCCACTGGGACGAAGGCCTTGAGATTGTTCATACCGGACATTAATATCAGCGAGAGTAAAATTGTCCGACGAAAGACAAGTTACAAGCCGAGAAAGAATTGGGAAGAGTTGAGGAAGAAGAACGAGAAGAACGAAGGAATACTGAAGAATTTCGTTGATTCGGGCGACGAGGACGAAGATAATATTGCTACTTCTGATTCTACGAACGATGAGAAGAAACTAAATAAAGAATCCGTGGCTGATGGAAAGGATAAAGAGCAGGGAAGGATAAAGGAATCGTGTTCTGAGCAGTGGTCGAGTCCATCGTCGATTGGCATCAACGAAGATTACATTTTCGAGGAAGCTACGGTTCAAGATAACGTTGACACAACGATAGACGAGAAGTATAAGCAATGCGTAAAGGGAGCTAAATCAATGGAACCAATGAGCGACAAACCTCAGAAAACAATGAATAATTCAGATCGTTTGATCACTAATACTCGTCAGAAAGAAAGACTGCCAAATTACATCTATCCCGAAATAACGTGCCATATTAAAGACGATTCTCAAGACTCGCCTAAGAAAGTTACCTCTACAAATGGTAAAACGAACTTAAAGGTACAAAAAACAGACCGAACGAAACCGGTATATAATACAGAGTGCGTTAATGTGAATCTGAAAGACATCCTGCAGCGAGTTGACAGTTGTCAGAATAATCCAAAAGAGAACATGGAGAACTTAAGAAAAAGGACGTCCATTACGAAAATAATATTAAACGACAATCAGGAGAAAAACGAGGGAGAAACTAGATCGAGTAGCCGAGCACGAAGCGAACCACCTTTGAACTCAAGTCCCAGGGACGAGGATCACAAGATGAAACTGGTTGTACCACCCTTTTTCGCGAGATCCTCGTCTTTGTCCAGCGAAAGCAGTTGCCCTACTCCTTCTAGCGTTCACTCAGATGCGAATACTTCCTGGGAAGATGTTCAACGTGGTACCGTAGGATCGAGCGTGTTCTTGGAGAAGGAAGATACTAACAAAGCGCAAAGAAAACACGAGATCCAGAGAACTTCGAGCGAGGGAAAGAACAAGCAATGTAGCGCAGACGACAAGAGACTTTGGGGTAGAGTATGTACCGGGTCATACAGCAGAGCGATGGAGAAATTTAGCAAAAATAACGACGTGAATAAAAAATCTATTAACCAATTAAACGGATCGCAACAAAACGGAAAGATCAGAAGGAAAAGCAGTCCCGCTATGCCTCAATACATCAATCCGTAGAAATAAACTTCCCTTCTATGAGAAGACTGATTCTAGAACTTGGCCTTCCTCGATATATTGCGGTGACTCAGGCCGGAAAATCGAACAGCTGAACCTTTCTTTTCGAACGAACTCGGCCAAAGAATTGACAGAAACGAGACAATCGTTCTCGCAATCTTCAAACCTTGACAACAATGTGCTCGCGAGCCTTGGTAAAACAATACCGCGGGACTTAAGCAAGATTACTTATGGCTGGTCGTGTTCGAGTGGACCAAACTGGCGGATAAATAATCTGCAGGCGTGTGTCATCACATAGTCGAACGACAAACCTGTCATTAACATCCCATCTGGGCGTCGCGTGGTCAAACAAGGCGATCGAACGTGATTGATCGTCATAGCCATATCCTTGACTTAATCTCCATATCGAGCGATCTTCGAGAACTACTTTTTTTCCGAAGTGCGTAGTATCGATGGACACGTGAGTACAGAGGAAGCGAAGCAGCTGATTTCGTCCCGAAAAAACGGTACCGATCAAATCACCAGAAAAAGAAGTATCGACGGTATTGAGTTTAGACTAAGATCGAAGATTGAGAATCAAATGACAGAAAGTATAGAATTTAATTCGCGTTACAAGAACGTTGTGACGATGTACGTCGTACGAGAATGCAAGTGTTGCGTTCAAAGAAATTGCTCATTTTACGAGAGATTATCTTTTTACGATACAATTTTGCCTCTACTAATTCTCTCCGATACCTCTGTTGCCTATCGAAGCTCTTTTAAATAGTAGCAGTCGCGATTCAAATTGGATGAAATCCGAAAATAACTCAATTATATCGCAGTAGCTAGCGTGCTATTAAAGCCGGTCTAGTAATGTGTTTCATTTAGATTTTAGGCGATTCGTTCAATTTTGTATCGATGATATCGTAATAAAGACTCTTTGTCGTTAAATCTCACGCACTGTTACTTTTACTTAACAACAACCCAACAATTGTTATAGCAATAATATAATACTATCTTACAGCTTCATATAATAGGTTGAAGAGGAAATTTGTAGCAAGTATTTGGTAAAATTAAATCTTATTATAATATAAAAACAATTCGGCATTCACATATCATCAATTAGCGATAATATAATATATTAATATACACAAAATAATCGTAGCTTTCCGATTTATGGGAACGTTTATTCCCATCGACTTTTTCTCACTCTTTTCTTTTCTCCTCCGATATTAGAAGCTTGTATGTCCTGAGTCTTTGATTGTTCCGTATTTGGTTTCGGAGGTACAGGTGGCGGTGGAGGCATTATCACTGAAGGCCGCGTAATAGTTTGTTCCCATGTATGATCCGATGATGCCCGGAACTGAAAACAAATTCCCACGTATCACATATATCATTCCCAATCCTACATGTTGGCAGTAGAGGCTCGTTTAAATTCCAAAAGAATCATTTCGTTCAAATTTAAGAGGTCCAATCTCATCACTCTTTATTATTCACTAGAAACACTATTCAATGATGATGCAATCACACAGGATTTTTAACTGTCTAATGGACTTGCTCGTTACATATATGGATACACGAACATTATAGATATTTTTCTTATCTTAATCATTCACTTTCACGAACTCAGGTTACATAATTTTATATCTTGTAAAATATATATCACTACTTCATTTTTCATTATACAAAAATTTAATTCTATTTGTAAATGAAAAGAAATTTGTACATCGAGATTATATAAGAATATACTTGAAAATTTATTAAAACATTTTTACAAGTTGTCATTGATAATTAAATGATCTTTATTTCTTTTTCAAAAATAAATAAATATTTTGTTATGTAATTCCTATTTAATATATATCAATTTTTCATCGTATTATATACATGATATATACACTAATACATATTATATCATATGTATGTGCAACTAGATAAAACTTTAACGGAATAGGGCGTACCTGAGAATTGTACTGACTGCGGAAAGCAGCTTTCATAGCCGATAACCGATCGCTGCCTGGTCCGTGTCTTTCTAACTTCTTAACAACTTCGCTTATATCCTTAGATCCTTGCGACGAGGAACCACCACTCTAAAGAACATTTTAAAATTTTGATTTGAAACGTTATATTATAATTAATGAATAAATACCGAAGTCGAAGATGTTTCTGGTCTTCCTCTGAATCCGAGTCCGGCCCCTCCAACGTTCAAACTCTTTCCCTTTCCACCTTTGAATCTAGACTTGCGGAACCACGCGCTTTGCATCGCTAAATCCATAAGACTCTTTGGTACTTCTTGATTTGCGCCCTCCAAATTTCGGACTAAGTGGCCTGCAAACTCTTTGTCTTTCTCTATTACTAGAGTATACGCTGTCCCTTTTTCACCTGCTCGACCTGTTCTACCTATTCTATGTGTATGGGTATCTATATCTCGCGCGACATCGTAATTTACGACAGTTCTGATATGTGGAATGTCCAAACCTCGAGCTACAGAGAAATTAGAAAGAAATTTCAGAAAATTGTTACGAATAAAAATTGGAATCAATCGTTTTGTCCGAATTAAGACAAAAAAAAATAATAATAATAATAATAATAATTACCTGCAACGTCAGTAGCAACTAAAGTACTGACTTCTTTTTTTTTAAAAGCCGTTATTACTTTGTTTCGTTCAATTTGATCCATATCACCGTGTAGAAGTAGAACGTCAAATTCTTTCAATTTGAGATTGTTTGCGAGTTCTTCTGCATTGAGCTGCAATAAATAATCAGTTAGAAAAATCAAATCGTTGTAATTTGTATCCACTGAATAACTTGCACATAATTACGCAATATAAATAATTTTATAATTTCATAAAGTTTATAGGAAAAATTAAATTTTAAATGTACAAATATCTACAAATAAACTACAATTACTAACCTTTTTGGTTACAAAGATCAACAGACTGCCAGCGCTCAAGAATTCAACTAAATTTTGCAACAACCAAGTCCATTTTCCAATAGGATTATTATTGAACACTATCACGTGTTGCGTGACGTCGGCATTCGCTTCACCAACATCGCCTTGAACTATCCTAACTGGGTCCGTTAGAACGTCCCTGGCAAGCTTTTCTACCCTCTTTTTGAAAGTTGCGCTGAACAACAACGTTTGCCTATCCGGCCTTACATGGTTACATATTGAACGTACTTGTGGCTCTGAAATCAAACAGAGCGAATAATAAACATGTAAAAGTATTATTAATAGGAACAGAAGTTTTGCCAATAACCACATACGATCAATAAAGAAAACGTTGTTTCTTCCTTTATTATCGTCAAATTTTATTGCAGATGTTGCTTACCGAAACCCATGTCGAACATTCTATCAGCTTCATCCAACACTAAAAATGTTACTCTCGTCAAATTCGTTGCCTTCATTTTAACTAAATCTATCATTCTACCAGGCGTTGCGACTACTATTTCCGCACCCCCTTCTAATGCTTTACTTTGCTCCCATTTACTGCCACCGCCGTAACAGCAGCATACTTGAATATTATACACTTTGCCAAATTTCTTTGCTTCTTGATAAATCTAAAAGCGCAAAGAGCCGAATGAACTTACTCTCTAAACTGTTCCTAATAAAACTGTCCATATTTATGTATTCTAATATTAAAATAAATTATACAAAAGATCAGAATATATTTTCCTTTTATATTAACATAAATTGTAAATGTGTCTAATTGTACGTGCATTTGATATTTGTAACTTTACTTTAGACTATTTTAATATATTAATTAAACACCTGTTGCGACAATTCTCTTGTAGGGGCAAGAATTAAACCGATAGGTCCGTCGCCTGCCTTCAATTCTCTCTGATCCATTATGTGAACCAGCATTGGCCAAATGAAGGCTGCTGTTTTACCGCTACCAGTTTTTGCTATACCAATTATATCTCTGCCACTCAATGCAGCTGGAACTGCTTGAGCTTGGATAGGTGTAGGTTGAGTGTATTCGTTTTTCCTAATAGATTTTATTAATGCATCGTCGAAACCAAAATGACCAAAACTGGTTACTGGATTTGGTGGAGACGGACCAGACACTTTTATCCCCAGAGTTTTCCTTAAGTCGTCAATCTGTTGTTTACTTAAACTAGCGATTTCGTCGTGAACATTATAAAAATTCTTCTCGAAAGGTTCGTATTGTATCTCGCTGTGATCGATAGGTGGTAAGGGATCGATCTCTTTCTTTCTTGGAGGCGCGATTGGATTTCCATCTTCATCATATTCGATTTCTTGGTCGGATTCCTCTTGTTGCAAACCAGCAGTTGGATTCTCCTCCATATACCTTGATAATAGAATAATCCAATATTTCTCTATTTTTATTTTTACAAATACAGCAATGCCTAATAAAAAAATTCATAAATCACCTATAGTAACTTTCCTCGTCGTCCTCGCCATCAATGTCTGCTCTAAATCCTTTTGATTTCTCCTCTCTATGCTCGTCTTCTGCAAGCTGAGCCTCATAATTATTTCTTTTAACTTCTGCATCTATCCCAGCCATAAATGCATCCAATGGATCTTCTTCGCTATCACTCTCTTCTTTTGGAGTTGATTTTTTCGTCCAGTCATAAGTAGGAGATCCAGGGGCAGGAATATATTCCAAAGAAAATGGTGGAGGATCATCATCATCTTCAAAATACCTAATTGTACAATACCAGTCAATTTTACATTCCTCTTTATCTTTGCTTTGTCTCTTAAAATGTATACTTACTCTTCCTCAGTTTTGCTACGTTTTTTTGGCATGCCCCAACATGCGGATAAGGCATTTTCGGTGATAGAATTCATGGTGTGATAACCTTGTTTGCTTAGAGTAGAATTTGGCGGAGGTGGTGGTATGTTAGAACCACTTCTTTTTGTGCCAGTCATTTGAAAGCCAGCAAACCCAAAGCCTTTTGGCTTATTACCTCCTCCACGGTGATAACTCATATTTGTCTCCTATCTGCCAAAATTTGAGTATATTAACAGTCACTTCTGTATTCCACAGCCATTTTGCTACCCCAGAAAAAGCTTAAAGTACAAGCGAATCATATATTCATGATTGATTTCTGCTTGCCCTACTTTTACATCTCTTGTTCACTATCGCACAATTTTTCTTAAAAATAAAGGAACGTGCTACTTGTTTATTAATTATATAACTAAATATCAAGAGAATACATTGTAGACTTTATATCAAGACACAAACATAGATGACAGAAAGCAAACTGCATCATCTATTATTTCTCACTTGTTACAATAGTAAATATAATGAACAAAACGCGAGAATATATTGGTTAATGTTGATGCAATATTGTCTCAAAGCTGTTTAAAATTTATTTCTTAACAACAATACATATTTATTGTTTTCATTCAAACAAAAGGAAAGAGGTTAGAACACCTTTATATCCACTAATAAAACGGGATACGTTGAAATATATACGATTCACGATTTAGACAATATTTTGAAACAATTACGAAAAGAGTAACTACTTTACACAAATATTCTTCAAGAAGTTATTTCACATCTAATAAAATGCGACTCCAGATATTTCAATATCGAACGGTACAATATTTAGTGTAAAAACTCAGACGGTGCTGCCTCCATGTGGTGCCATTGATATCCTGCGTTACATATTCAATACCTGAATGATCATGTTCGTCGGTCAGAATGACGAAGGATATTATCTTAGGATATTTATTTTATGATTCAACTTAATCTGGAACTCATAAATTAAAAAAAAATACAATAATTATAGTTAGAAAAAAAATGATTCGTATTAGGTACCATTTCCTCACTCCTATCTATTGAGCAATATTACACAACTTTAGACATAAATTGTAATTACATTTAGCTAAAAAAATGTTTAATACAAATTGATCGTGAAGTTAATCTATTTGATAATCATATCGTCTCATAAAGCTAAATTCATAAAATCTCATAAATAGATAAATTAACGATTGAGGGATAGAATCGAGAGAGGATCCTCCCGAGTGTTAATTGGAGAACATAATAGGATAAGTTTTAATGAGGCATGCATATTATCACGGAAATGTTGTTTAAAAGTATCTTCATTCATACTCTCGTAGTTGAGTGACATAAATAGTTCTATCACAGCTGAATCGATCGAATATCCGAGCCTGCGTATTAACGGAGGCGCCATGCGACTTCTCCGTAGATTTCAGCGTCTGTCGTGATCTCGTTCGTCGCAGTTGAGATTTTATTACAACGAGTCAAACGTCGAAAAATTCTGGATACGGGCATAGTCAATTCCACGTAAGTATGGTAACTATTTATGAAACCTCTGATTAGTATAACGGGCAATGTTAATCAAATGTTCGCTTTTTAAATACTCCTTATCGATACGGTTTGATTTAACATTTTATTCAATCAAATTTTCAAATTCGAAAGAATTTTACTAATGAAACGCATTGCAATTTTCATCCACACGAAACATGTCGTATCACAATTTGTTCCAAAAAGTTTTAACAGCAATCTGTTTAAAATAAGCGAAAATGCCATCGGTTCGCCGGATGATCCTCGGACACGTTATGTCCGGCTTGTGCACCAAGATGAATCGTACGAAAAAGCTTCAAGGAGATTTGCTTGAAACTCCGATGAAACGATGTCTCACCACGTTCGATATCACGCTTCTCGGTAAGTACGCTTTTCGTGCTATTTTAGTCGTAAGGACGTGCACGACCATCACTTGCGATATCGCGCTCCCGTGGGCGATAAAGCAGAAAAATATTAATTGAATACACGGTGATATGGCGTTGCAAAAAACGATAAATGAAGCATTTATACCTGATATTGCCGGAACGAACGAATTTCCGTGATGACTTTATGATCTTTCGAACTTATGTTTATGATATGTATGTAGATACATAGATTTATTTTTCAGGCGTTGGTCATATGGTTGGCGCTGGAATCTACGTTTTAACAGGAACGGTGGCTCATAATACAGCCGGGCCAGCTGTAATTTTGAGCTTTCTCCTCGCTGGTTTAGCTTCTTTGTTAGCAGCGTTGTGTTACGCTGAATTCGGAGCTCGAATTCCAAAAGCTGGTAGTGCCTATGTTTACACGTACATCTCTGTCGGTGAATTCTGGGCTTTCGTGATAGGATGGAATATTATATTAGAGCATATGATCGGTAATGTTATTTTCTCTGGAGTAACTCCTTAAGATTCACTCCCGTAACATTACGTTCGCCATTGTAGCAAATGTATAATTTTTTATAGAACCTCTAGCCATTGAATTAGGACAACCTAGAATTTTCAAATTAGAAATTTTATTAACTATTAAAATATTCACATACGTATTAGCGAATTATATATTACTATACATGTGTTACAAAAAATACGCGATTCAGAGGATATTTCATTTAGATTTTTAATTAAGTATGTTATTTATTTCATATTGTGGAAAAAAGAATTGAAAAGGAGATATATAACAGTGTACAAACTATAAAAGCAAAGAGGCAAAATACAAACACTTTGCTAGAAACTTGTGAGATGTTGTAAGCTACGAATATAGTATTTCACACAAATTTATAAACGTTCATAAAATAACAAAATAAAAATAAGAAAGTAAAATAATAAAATGAAAAGAGCTGTTTCTTTTTGGCACAATCTTTTAGAATTCAGTGAATTCTTAAGGGGTTAATCGTCTATACCAGGTCGTAAATTTGGAACTTTTATACGGATGTATTTTATATCGAACTAGGTGCGGCATCTGTGGCTAGAGCATGGAGCGGATACGTCGATTCTTTGGCAGGAGGATCAATCAGCAATTACACTCGTCGAATAATGCATGGATACACTATGGCTGAGCCACTTGGAACTATTCCAGATTTTTTGGCCGCTGGATTATGTCTAGCTTACGCGATGTTGTTAGCATTGGGTGTAAAATGCTCGGCGACAGTCAATTCTTTCCTTACCACGATAAATTTAGGTGTGATGGGATTGGTGATTGGACTGGGCATATATTACGCGAAATTTTCTAACTGGAGCTGTGACTTCATGCCATTTGGATTTAGTGGAGTGTTGACAGGTATTTCTGAATTTATAGATTTTCGTCTTAATTTGACTCACGAAATTTCCAATCAGCCTTCTAACACTTTCATCATTCATCAACAGGTGCTGCAACATGTTTCTACGCTTTCGTGGGCTTCGACTCGATTGCCACTTCCGGCGAAGAAGCACGCGATCCTGGATACAGTATACCCCGAGCAACTTTGTTCTCAATGGCAATCGTAACTATTGGATACATGATGGTCGGCGCCGCTTTAACTTTAGTTGTACCATATTGGGAAATCAATCCAACAGCGGCTCTTCCTGAGGCTTTCTCATCGAGAGGAGTACCATGGGCGAAATACGTGATAAGGTCAGAAGATTGTCGAATAATTGTTATCTAAAACTTCGAAGCAAGGAACACCTTTGTTGGAATAATCTTTCCGCGCACAATTTTCCATGCGTAACACAGTGTTGGGGCTTTGTGCGGAATGACGACAACACTCTTCGGATCGCTGTTCTCATTGCCACGTACAATGTATGCCATGGCAAATGATGGCCTGCTTTTTGGCTTTTTGGGCCACGTTAACGAGCGCACTCAGGTTCCGGTTCTTAACTTGGCTATCAGCGGCTCAGTCAGTGCCTTAATCGCTTTGCTCTTCGACCTTCAACATCTAGTTGAATTTATGTCTATCGGTACATTTTTGGCCTATACCATCGTTTCGGCAAGCGTGATTATCTTGAGATATCGTCCTGAGAAGAACACACCGCCGCCATCGAACGCTGGTACACCAAGCAGTTTGACATCGCCTCCTACCGAGGGTGCAGATTCTAACAGCGATTGTAACAGCGTAGCGTCTGCGGAATCTGAGGTAAAAAAAAAAAAAAAAATGAGAACAAAAAAAATCAAACAATTAGAGTACAGATTTCAGACAGTAACAGACATACTTTCGAGAATATATTAATGTAAAAAATAGTTATTTCAATAGATGTCTTTTATTTCTAAAATAATTCTAAAAGTATCTGAAAAATATTTAATCCAACACAAAGTTTCATTTTTCCAATTCTAAAATTATTTTTTAATGTTGGAGCTATTGAATAGAAATGGCCACCTAGATTCTAATTTTATGAAATTTCAAGAAATTGAAATATTTATAATATTACGATAAATAATTAAATTTTTTGCACATATTACAGCTTTTAGATTTGAGCGAGGGCACTGGCAAACTTAAATCACGATACGTATGGCTGGTAAATTTTTTGGGCAATTGCAAGCCTGGAGATGCAGTCACTGGTTCCGTAATGGTTTACACAGCGAGTTGCATTTTCTTGTGTTACTTGTTGATGCTCATATCTCAAACATACTTTGCCCCAGACTGGTGGGACTATTTCGTTCTGGCGAACGTTGTTCTATTGCTAATTGGAAGTAAGTCCCGAATTTTTTATTCAATATTATTCGTTCTTAAATTAATCGAATATAATCATAGGTCTCATCGTGATCAGTGCACATCAACAAAGTACTTCTAGTGGTAAATTCCGCGTACCTTTGGTACCCATTGTACCAGCTTTGAGCATTTTATTCAACGTAGGATTGATGTTCCACCTATCGCTTCTAACATGGTTACGATTTCTTGTATGGATGGTAGTTGGTAAGTTAATTTACTATTACGCAAATTTTAGTATTAAATATATTCTAATTACTTTTAATTAATTACTAAATTTATTGTAACTTATACTATAATTCAAATAATCAATATTACTGGACATTCTAGTCTATCTAGTAAATTCTAAGAAAGCACTACTTTTGACATTTTATATATTTTTTCATATTACATACATTTCGTGCATTTTTAGACTTTAAAAGTTCCTATAAAACTTCACACTCTAATTATAACATTCGGACGTTTAATTAATTCCACATTCATCAATCTCATTCACAACTAACAATATTTGTTACAGGAATGTTAATATATTTCCTATATGGAATTCACTATAGTAAAGAAGCGGCTAGTCCGAATTCATACTCGATCTTAATGGCAACCTCGGAAGCTGGTCGGGGTGCAAAATGGGGCGCGACGTTACGGGTGAATCAGAAAAGCGACAAAGTTCCGATTTTAGACGAGGAAGATTTCGTACATTAGGAGCATAAAGAGTTCGTCAGAACTATGTAAAAATTATGCCAGTCAACGCTGAATGTAAGTGAATAATATTACGTAGAGGATGGGGAAAGGATGTTACAGAATTTGACCATTGTTTTCTTACGTACGCGTTATGAAATTTAAGTGTCCGATCTTTGTATATACCGATGTTATGTAAAATGCTAACTCGAATTATTGATGTTCAAGATTACTCTGTCTTTAAATATTAAGCAGCTGGATACTGAAAAGATATCAATGTTGGAAAGATCATGCTTCATTCCGTTATTTATCTCGACTAATTTTCGACAGATTATTATACCATATATATTTGTATATCAGAATTTAGTTAAAAGTATCTTGATCTTTGTATTTTATTGTATTTAATTATATTTTTTATCGCGCACAATTTATGGTGTATACAGTGCTTTACATATGTACATTAATTCTCACTGTGTACAGAAAAATTTATCTGTGTATACCGGATTGTACATTGGAATGTTTAGTTGTACGTGTATATTTATACGGATGCACAAAGAACAAAGATTGTCGAACGATATAGTATAACAGTGGAATTCAATCGAGTAAGGAAAAAAGGTATCGTATTCTTAGTACAAATTTGATTTCTGGAAATGATCGTTTAGTCCAGAAGAACAATAAAGTATTCGAAATATTTATAAATTTGACGTTGCAATCAAAAAAAA